TGCGGTGCCGTCCCTTTGTGATCGCCCACCTGCCACATGCTGTCACCCGGAATAGGGGCTCGACCACTCCGCAGGTCCGCACCTGCACCACCTACTTTCGGACATTGACCAAACGGCCAAACTGGTCCATTTCCTGGAAAACACCCTCCACGCCGGAAAAGTGGCTGTGCCGTATCCTTTTTCTTGGAAAAAACCTTCCACAGCCTCCCCCTTCAGATTTTCAGGATCCTACGCTATTCTGGAATATTTCCTGTGGGGTCCACCTCTAAGTCCGGATTGAGGCATATTCGGAGGGGCCCTGCCTTACGTCGCCAGGCATGTATCTGTTTTTCAAAAGCCCCGTGAGTAGACCCCTGATGCTCCCTCTCTTCCCTGGTACCTCAGTACATATCTCTGCACTCTCCCCTCTAGCACCCCAATCGGTGTCATCCACCTCGAATACCCTGTCGATGTCATCTACTAGCAACCCCTTGCAGTCTCTGCCATCCTGTCACATCGACTAGGTGGTCCCTTGTCTCTATCACATTTTCGAGCCCAGCCTTATGTCACTAGGCATGTATCTGTTTCTCCACAGGCCCCGTGAGTAGACCCCTGATGCTCCCTCTCTTCCCTGGTACCTCGGTACATATCTCTGCACTCTCCCCTCTAGCACTCCAACCTGTGTCATCCACCTGGAACCCCCTGTCGATGTCATCTACTACCCCCCTGCAGTCTCTGCCATCCTATTACATCGACTAGGTGGTCCCTTGTCTCTATCACATTTTCGAGGCTCGCAATCTCGTGATAAGTGTGTGAATCCTACCAGCGTGTAAATCGTACCAGTGCCTACCCCATGAACCCTGAGCTGAGCCTTCAACGTACAATGAACAGCCGCTCACAGTCCCCCTACGGCCATTCACTGCATTTTTCGGCGCAGAAAAGGGGGTCTTCCGAAGGGGCCCGGCGATTGGACCGATGCAGGGGGGATGAGGCAGGCCCCCTACCCCCCAATAGGAAAAAAATGCAAAGGTAAAAAAAGGGGCTCTACCAACCTGGGGGCTTGTGGGGCGCAGCGCTGCCGGGAGCGCTGCGCCCCCGCCTTGGCGAACCGATGCGCGGGTTCCGGATCGACGAGCTCACATGAACGGCGCGCACAGGGACGATGGCGCGAGGGTGTGGCGATAGCGGGGCGGGGAAACGGCGCGCGCAGGGACGATGGCGTGAGGGTGTGGCGATGGCGGGGCGGGTTATGGATGCCTTGAGTGGCTATGTATGGAAGCGTGTTCATGCCACGCTGGCCATATCGCCCTCCTTTAAGCATTGAAGTGAGCTGTTTGGAGTCGGAGTACCCTGCTTGTGCGAAGTGCTTTCACATGGTGGCTTTGTTAGGCGAGGAGCGGCGCGGTGCAGGTTTGCTACTCCGAAGAAATGAAGGGGGGTTGCTTGTTCTATCGAGATGAGTGGTGATGGCGTGTCGTGAACAGCTACCCTCGGTGCTCCCGCAAAGCGAAACACAACGACGTGCTGTTAAAGGAAGTAGAACCTATTAGGTGTCTTTCACCATGGACGTTCCTTTTCTCGCCGGACTGCCAATGAGGGGCCATCGACGGGTTCGGTGGTTGGGTCTTGCTACGTGGCTGAAGATGAGGTAAGTTTTAGGCCAGGGTCCATTATTCTTCATCACTCGCCCATAAGGAGATGGCTGCGAGAAGTGCAGACCACGAGACGGCTGAGGTGCTTACGAGCTGATGAAGGAGGAGGTGGAGGTTGGGGGGGATGAGGACGTGATATGGTGTGTATGAAAATGGAAATGATACCTGGAGGCACCTGGTAGATCTTACGCTAGCTTTCATCGTTTGCCTGCTACTTGGTATGCTCCGCACCCTAATCTGCAAATCCCTAAGCTCAAATTCTTCATCTGATTAGGGCTTCTTTCCCCTGATCTCTCATGATGAGCAATCCTGTGTTTCTGAAGTTCGTGATCTTAGGTATTAGGTTTTTTTGTCATACAGTCGTCATACAGTTGTTTTCTGCGGTAAAGACTCTTACACAATGATCATACTACGTTGGTCTCTCTTGGTAATTGTCAAATCAGAATTCTGATGCTAGGAAATTTCTTATCCTTAATCTCGATTTCAGACTCCAATTGAACTGATCTCACTCTTGTATCTGATAATACCCACTTCCTACAAGAAATTCGTAATTTTCGATTTTCAATTTCACAATCTACAACTTGAAAAGCTTAAGAAAAACTTCTGTTTCTCGAAACATTTTCCTATAAAACCTTCTAAAAAACTTCTCGAAATATTTTCCTATAAAAGCTTCTAAGAAATTTTTGAAATCTCCAAATAAATTCCTATTGAAGCTCTACAAAATTTCTGACTCTGGAGATCTCAGATAATTCTAATTTTGATCAAAATAGGAGGGGGGGAATTAAAAAGGGGAGGATGGGAGGAGAGGTGGCCTTCAAACAGAGGATGGATGTCGGTGAAGGTGAGTAGGTCAGGAGGGCGAGGCTGGGATGACATGGGCCGGTGCTGGAGCTTGGCTCTGTGACCCGGGGGGAGCTTGAGGCCCATGGAATTATGCCGAGGGTGGAAGGCATAACCAGATCGTCCAACACAAGCGGCGCCGGGGTTTTGCCCCTGTAACCTGTGTAGGGGTTTGTCGCTATGGGAATTGTCGAGGGAGGAAGGCACTTCCTATCCGGCAGAACTAGGTTGGTCGGTACTGGGGAAGGTGGCGGTGCCCTGTTACCCATGCAGAAGGGGGTATGAGACCAAGTGTGTTCTGGTTCGAGGACCGAAAGTCGAGACCAACGGCTCCTTTGTTGAGGGGGGGATTTTAGGTTGGTTGGTATTTAGTTTTGACCTCCCCCCCTCTTTTTTCTCCTTTTACAGATGGCTGTTTGGGGGTCTTAAGAATGCTTTTGGGCTCTTGGGATCCCTTGCAACTCTTCTTAGGTGATTTTTGACACTGTTATACTCGATGCGAGAACGACGCTGGCCGGAGCTGGGGTGTTACCCTGTGACCTGTGATGCATGAGCATGAGGCCTGGTAGAAAGATCTGGGGAGGCTTAGGGGTGGGCATCCTACGGAACAGCCAAGGTTTGCTGCTGGGACGACGCTGGTCGGAGCTGGGGTGGGTTGTGTCACCCTGTAACCTAGCAGGATGTGGGGTGTGAGACCTGGAAGAGCTCGGCAGGGAGTAGGACAGTGTTGAAAGGCCTCGGAAGGGGCGTTAGGGATTCCAAGGGTTTCTAAGCATCTGTAGGACCCGCCAGGTCTTCTTCTATGTTTTCAATGTTTTCAATTATTAATCTTACGTAGTTAGATCCAAATTCTTAAAAAAGGGGGTAGTCTGTTCTGTCTTAAACTGTCTTCCGGATCCTGGGGTTTCCTGGCAATCTCTTCTAGGTAGTTCAAGGCTGTAATACTCGGTGACCTAAGGCTGTTCGACGCCAGAACGACGCTGGCCGGTGCTGGGGTGTTGCCCTGTAACCTGTTGACGCAGGGGCATGAGGCCTGGTAGAGAGATCTGGGGGTGCTTTGGGGGGGCATCCCACGGGACAACCAAGGGTT